GGGCCCGCACTGGGCCAGGCCCTGGGGGAAGCCCAGGGCACTTAGCATATCAACTTCTGCTCTCAGACAGCCTCTGCCCAGTGGGAGAGCAGACAGATAAATGACTTTTTTTTCTGTGGAGAAAGTGGTAAAAGAATGTGGGGGCTGCTCAAGGGTGTGAGAAGCTGTGAGCAACACTTGGGGTTCAGTCTTGACTGTGGGGTTGTTCAGGGTACATGGTCCTTCAGCCTGATGGCTGGTAAATTTTTGCTTCTACATTCAGGTTATCTCCTTGTAGCCCTTCCAGAAGGATGGGTCATCCTCTCTGCAGGGTGGCCAGATTTCTGCCTGTGCCTCTTGGCCTCTCTGCTCTGACCCTGGCTGGGAGTGGACAAAAGCCTTGCCTCATCTCTGTAGTCTGTCGACATCCCTCCTCCCTAACCTGATCAAGGATTAAAATTATAAAGAAGGGGACAGCATTAGGTCTCTCTCCTCTAGGACTGGGATCTGTGGACCTCCTAGCTGAGCGAAGCATGGCAGCGGTGGGTACAGCGGGAAGCTGGGGACTTCTGGAGCTTTGTGGAATAGGGTTGACCTCAGCAGTATTTGTGAAGCAGAGAAGGTGGAGGAGGTGTGTGTGTGTGCATATGTATGTGAGTGTGTGTGTGTGCATGTGTGCGTGTGCATGTATGTATGTGCATGTGTGTGTGCATGTGTGTACATGTGTATGTGTGTGTGCATGTGTGCACATGTGTGTGCATGTGTACGTGTGTGTGTGCATGTGTGTGTGCATGTATGTATGTGCATGTGCATGTGTGTGCATGTGTGTGCATGTGTATATATGTGTGTGCATGTGTGCACATGTGTGTGCATGTGTATGTGTGTGTGCGTGTGCATGTATGTATGTGCATGTGTATGTGTGTGTGCATGTGTGCACATGTGTGTGTGTGTGTGTATGTGTGTGTAGACAAAAGCGGGGAAGGAGACAGAGATCTAGGAGCTTGGATGCGTCAGTGTTGCTGGGAAAGTAGACAAGAGTCTGACTCAGTGGGAACATCCGGCAGGAAGGGAGGAGGGTACACAGTGGCATTTGCAAGTAGGATGGGAACTCTAGAGCTGCAGAGATGGGGTGTGGGGCCAGGGGCGGAAGCCTGGACAGCAAAGGGGCTGAGGAGAGTAGCTAGAGAATGGGGGGGGGGGGTGTCGGGAGACTATGGGGAGGGAAAACATCTGAGGCCTGGTCAGTCAGGGACATAGGGAATGGCAGAGTTTGTGACGCTCATGTCAAGGCCTGGAAGTCAGGACCACATAAGAACTGAAGCTGACCTAGACACCCCTGAGCAGAGACTGGCCTCTGCTGTGTGAAGAATTGGGGAAGGGGTCTGTGTCCTTTCTTGGGATCAGAGAGTCTGCAAAGGTTATCCTGGGAGTGCAAGGCATGGAAGGACCCTGTGAGAGGATCCCAAGGGCTGCTGACTGTTCCCAGTGGAAATGCTAAGGACCCCAGAGAAAGGCTCCTTTGAGCATGGTAGGGGGCTGGAGACCCAGAGAGTTAGGCCTCCAGGAGTAGCTATGCTTGGAGTACAGAGAAAACCACATTCCACTTCAGGGACCAAATGGTGGAACATGGCATTTTAGGTCTGTGGTAGTGTGCGATGGCCCTGGGGAAGAGGTTTCTCACTCTTATCTAATGACTTAAACACGCTGACTAGACAGTCAGCAGGACAGCAGAGAAACGCTTGAGGGAGGGCTGTCTGCGGGGAGAACCTGCATCTCTTGCCTTTTCCTACTAGTGGGAGGGATGAAGACCTGTGTATGCTGGTCAGCTATCCTATTTGCCGGCAAACACAGACAGGAGATCTTACAGGGGCTCAGGACCACAGGTAAAAGTGGGTCCCCTGTGTGCCTAGATCTCCTGTGGGAGGACACTGAGGCAGGGCAGGGAGAGGTGTTAGACAAGACCAGCCGGCTGCTGGTGCCCTGGTCCTCGCCCTCTGAGAGTGGAAGGGTGGGGGTGGCGGCTAGGCGTTCCTGGCTGGGAGCCCAGAGCACTCTTTTGTAATCACAACATGATCTCTTGTGCTGAGCAGCAAAGCTGAAGCCGACAGGGAGAGGCCGACAGGCCCGGCTCCGGTGGCTCCAGCTTCCCTCCAGCTCTGGCTCCTGGGAGCTGCTTTGGAATTCTCTCAGCGCCTGGTATTTCCATGCATTTACTTGTGAGTGGCACCTCCTCTTTGGCAGGGGGCTTCTAGAGGATGGGAGGGAGCTAAGCTACTAAGCAGCCACATTCTGGGGACAGCTGGTGGCAGCTGGGCCTGGGAGGAAGAGAGCCATGGTGAGGCAGGTGGTGGGCTGGGCAAGGCACTGAGCAAAACACAGACCCCACAGCCAGACACAGAAGAACCTCAGATCTTATGCAGAGGCACGGCTTGCCCAGAGTAGTTCCCAGCTGAGGCTGCTATGGACGTGCTGTTCTCCTGTCTTGTCAGCCAGCAGCTCAGCTCTGGAGGGCTTGCTGGGCCCATAGGAGCTGCTCTCTCCTTCAGACTGAGCACAGGCTTAGGGAGTGGGGTCCAGTGCCTGGGAGGCCAGAACCAAGCTAAAGCCTCTCTCTGTGTGTGTGTGGTTCTAGATTTGGGAGGCAAATAGTCTCCCCTCGACCTCCTGAATCCCCTGGCAGCTTCCCAGTCATGGCAGGTTCGGCTGCCAGAGCCATTTTTAACTCTCATTCCAGGCTGTACTCACAGCAGAACCCCCTGGGGAGCCGGGGGAAGGGCAGACTGCTGCTGGGAGCAGAGGCCCTGGGTATGAGGCCCTGACCTGAGCCCCTCAGGAGGCAGACTAGCAGTCAGGCCTCACTGGCATGGGGCTTGGCCCTCTGTAGACCATCTTCCTGAGGAACTTCCTTCACCCTGTGTGGTGTAGCTTGGGGCTATAACCTGTTTCTTGGATTGGGTCTCTTGCCTTCTACAGGGACCTCACAAAGCTGAGTCCACAATGCGCAGGCATGAGGATAAAGATGCCGAGCTGGACCGTAGGATAGTTGCCCTGCGCAAGAAGAACCAGGCCTTACTACGAAGATACCAGGTGAGTGTGTTGTACCAGCTGAGAGAGCTCCTGTGGCTGCTGTCCCTGGGTACCTTCAAAAGGCTGTTTACACACTGGGTTCTCTTGGAGGGCTCTAGACTGTGTCCTCAGGCTTTGGCCCAGGGTTTGGGTGAATAGTCTCTCACAGAGGCTCTGTCAGAGTCTTGGGCACTGGTGATTCGGTGCCTCTGCCCCCTGGTGTCCCGCTAGTGTTTCTTTGTGTAGGCCTGTCAGCGTCTGTGTGTCTGTGATCCTGGAGGCCCATGGCCTTGCTGACCTCAGGCCCTCCCACAGGAGATAGAAGAAGATCGTCGGCAGGCGGAGCAGGGGGGCATGGCTGTGACCACTCCAGGGTTCCTCCAACCCGACAGCCTCACAGTCACCATCAGCCAGGTTCCTGGTGTAAGTCTCACCTTGGAGACAGGCAGGGTTGGGGCCTGGTCCATGTCTAGGGTGTTACAACTATCTCATTTTCTCCTAATTGCCTTTCTGGGTGCCTCTGAGTGACAGGCTTCCTCAACAACCAAGCTATTGCCATCTTCTCCAAAGGGCCACAAATGAAAGGCTAAACAGAAACCTTTGTCCAGACTTTCCCAGTCCTACAGCTCTGCACATATGCCCTATGTGCAGAGCACAGCCTCCTTCTTACCCCAGACACTGAGGCCGAAACCCTGCAGAGAAGTCTGCAATGAAAGCAAAAGAAACAGTGTCTTGGAGATAAAGCCATATCGTCTGCATATTCTGGATTTTTTGACTCAGAGATGACAAGCCCTTGTGGCATCTTGGGCCCCTCTGTTGGCTCTGAGCTCTGAATAACTAATGCCATTGGCATGTAGATTCCTGAAGGGCCAAGCTTTGCCATGGGCATTCCAGGGAGTCCTAGAACCCAAATCTAGGGAACCCCTCCACCTCCCCCCAGCACCCAGCACCCAGCACCCAGGTTCTGCTCAGGATTACTCATGAGGTCTGAGGACACAGGCGTCTTGCTCTGCAGGAAAAGAGGGTGGTCAGCAGAAACTGGACCAGGGCGCCCCTTTCACCTGGAGTGACTACCACACTGACAGATGAAGATGCTGCAGACTCACGGGGAACTTTCAGCATGGGGGACCGGGTGGAACTCGCTGTCACCATGGAAAACAAAGCCAAGGTGAGCAGATGAGGCTTCCAGCCCTCAGATCTCCTTCCTTTGGCTCAGTCATGATACTTATCTCTACCCTCTCCAGGCCAAGCGCATCGTGAGTGAGAAACCCACGACCCAACCAAGGAGCCCAAGGGCAAAAGGAACATCTGGAGGAGGCCAGGGCCGGAGTTGTCCCTTGCAGACGACTTTCAGCTCAGATTCAGCAGGGAAGGTACATCTTCAAAAAAGGGTAGGGACACAATCCCCATTTGGAGTAGGCAGAGAAACTAAGCCAAATATGTCCTTTATCTGGGCAAACCTGGCCTAGGCACTACCTGTGAGAATTCTTACCTTCTTCCCCTTCTCTAGCCAATATCCACTTTGGGTGTACCTTGCAGTGAGAAATGATTAATCTAGATATATTATCCAGCCATAATATGACCCATGACTCATCCCTAAGATGTCAGAGGGATGTGTAGGTGACTGGCTATGTGCCAGCTGTGACCTCTAGGTGGCAGCAGCCCCTTGTAATTGTTCTTGGTTTTGCTTACCGCCTATGGGTACCCCTTCTATCTAGGGCTGGTCTATCCACACCAAGGACTTTAAGAAACGCCTCCTTTCATAGATAGGGACAGAATACACAGAGAGGTTAAATTACCTGTCTCAAAGTGAACCTGTTGGCAGTGAACAAGTGGATGCGTGCAAACAGTTCGAAACAAGCACAGCATGCTGGAGAGGAGACAGACCTAATTATGTACTGGGAAGTGGAGACCTTGAGAGAGGAAGGGGCTCACCGACTCTAGAGCTTCGCTCAAATCTTCTCCCTACTTCTCCCCACAATACTAAGTATCTTCCCCTTGCAGGCTGTTTTGGAGCCCCGGAGTCCAGGTGTGGACCCAGGCCCACCTCCCCAACAGCTTTTGGGGGTGCCTCCAGAGGCCAGCTGGGACTACATGCAGTGGAAACAGGAGAGAGAGCAGATTGACCTGGCCCGCCTTGCCCGGCACAGAAACCCACAGGGTGACTGGAGTCGCCCATGGGACCTGGACAAAGCCAAGCCCATGTGGGTGGCATGGCTGAGCAGCTTGCTGTGATTGTGGGACTGGGGTAGGGTTAACTATGGGTGCCTCAAGGGAAAAGACTTGCCTGGGACTCTGGCCCCACTGTTCTGTGTGCTCTCTCTTTCTTGGGACCACCAACTCTGTGCTGCCCTGAGCTCTGGGGTTAGGGGAGACAATATCTGGGTGGAGCCTGATGCAGCCTTTGCCACACTGCCACTAGTGACTAAATGCTCTCCTCTGTCTACACAGGCCACAGAACTGCAACAAGCCTAGGGACAAGGACCTGGCCATGGGCAGCAGAAAGGGTGAGCAGATACCCACCTCATGTTCTTGTGCTTTGTTTTTTGAGAGTCTTAGCCCAGGCTGGCCCAGAACTCATGATACTCTTGTCTCATCTAGGATCTCACTATCCTCTCTATTCATCAAAGATGAAAAGGAAGATGGAAGGAGTCTGTCCTTCCTTCCCCTCCCACACTACTTGACCTCTCTTGTGTTTTCTTAGCTACAGCTCAGGCTAGATTCAGTGGGAGCCAAATGGGTCTTTCCAGATGCTGCTCCTTGTGGGGTAAAAGTCCTGTTGACCCTCCCTAGCTTGCTGTGGGAGGAGTCCTGTGAATTTCTGGTGATTTCCTTCTTCATACACAGAGCCTAGGGGCCAACGAGCTGGCCAAGTCATTTAGTTGGGTGTTGTAAACACAGACCAGGACCCCAGGCTTTTCTGTGGAGGTGGCTTGGGCTTTGGGAAGGTAGAACTCCTAAGGGAATGAATGACCATTGGAAGCTTCCAGGTACTAGAGCTCCGGTTTCTGTTTTAGATCCTTTGACACCTCCCATACCCATTTGTTTTCTTTCCCTTTAGGTCCTAGGACCCACCCGAAGCCTCAGCACCCACCATCATCCCTGGATGGAAAATGTGAGTTGGGAGTGGGAAAGGAGCAGAATTGCTTCAGCTTGGTGAGGGCAATTATTACAGTCTTCTGTCCTCTACAATGTCTTGCAGGTCGGGGTGGACAATCTGGAAGACCTTCGGTGACATGTACCATAGGCAGCAAACCCCAGGGGAAGGAGAGGCTAACTGGCAGGGCCCGAAGGTAACAGGTGACAGGGGGCAGATGGAGGGTGGCAAAATCAAGGCAGGTTTGTAGGTGTCCTAATTTCCTGGACTGGTCCAGGTCCCTCTGTTCCATCCCCAGGGCCCCTGATTCCTGGTTGCTTGTTGCCTGCCACAGGTTAATGAGATACCAAGAAAGGCCACAGCAGAGGTGTTAGCAGTTAGAGCCTGGTGCCCAGAGGCTGTGGTAATTACAACAGCTCACTTCCCCTGGGATGTGAGGTGTGCCTTTCCCAGGCGGAGCATGCAGGAACATGCCTGGAGTCCCCATGGATCTCAAGGTGCAGCAGGCTTGGTCATAAACAGCAGCTGGGGACCTGGGAGGGATGCTTAGAGGAAATGGCTAGGTTTGAGAAGTCAGGTCAGGCTGGGAAGGGAGCATCCAGGAGCCTCCCTGGCTCTACTCTGAAACCACTGGGCTTTAGCTCTCTCTGGGGTACACAGGCTATGAAGGGGGTTACTTGAAGCAAGGTGGAGCCTGGAACAGGACCTGCTGTTTGCTTGTGTTTCTACAGGTATGATGTGAAAGAAGATAGGAAGCTGCAGAGACAGGAGGTGGGTACTTAGGCATAGGCTAGGACAGGCTGGGGACAGAAGTCCCAAATTTACTAGCCACCTGGGCTATCCTTTTGCTTCAGGGAAGCCAGAGCAACCCGAAGAGTCCCAGTGCTGAGGAAGAGTGTGTACAGACTCGGAATGAAAGCGAGCCAGACAGACAAGAGACCATCCCTGCAACCAGTCCAACTCCAGCTTCCTCAGAGGGGCTAAAAGGAGAATCGGGAGCCTCTACAGCCAGTTTGTCCCCAGACTCTCCACAACAGTCTGACTTGGCTCCCCTTGACCTCTCTGTAGGAGGAGGTAGCAACCCCAATCCTGGAAAAAGTACAAGTATACTCAGTCCGAAGGCTGGGGCTCAGGAAAGTCCAGTGTCATGGCCAAATGGTTCTGAGCAGACCCTGGGGTGCAATGACCACCAGCCTGGGCTGGAAGTCCACAGTGGCACTGAGTCACAGAGAGAAGCAGAGACCCCAGAGCCCAAAGCGGACGGGGCTGGTAAGGCTGGGGTACAGCAGAACCTGACACCAAGAAGCAGGCCCCCCAGAGGAACTGGCCCAAGGGCAAGAGGCACAAGTAAAAGAAGCAGGGCTGGTGGTCCTGGCCCTGCAGGAAGATGCTGAGTGAAGCTCATGGGAGTTGGGGAGCTAGGCTGTGGAGGGGAGAACTCAGTCAAGAGTCTTCTGTGTGGTAGGAGTTACAGCTGTTAGTGGGAGTCTTGTACCTTCCTGGTTGAGCAATGTGGCAAGATTCCACAGGGACACCATGCCTCTTACGCATACCTTTCTACACAGTGGGTTTGTACATGTAAGCAAGGTCCCTGCTGTATTTTGCAGGCTGTGCTCTCTTGTTCAAGGCTGGTATCCCTGGCCTGGGCTTACTGTTACCTAGGCCATAAGCCTTTCCCACCAAGCAAGATTTGGCAAGACCCCAATACATGGGTCTCCTGACTCCTTGTAGTTCGTCATTGCCAGGTCTCCCTCCCCAGTCACAAGCCTTCAGGCTCCTCAACTCCAGGCACTCTCAAAGTTGGTATGGCCAGCCTAGCTCCTTTCTGATAACCATGCCTTTCATCCAGGTGATTCACAATCCCGGTCTTCTAAAATGGCCAAATTGGGATTTCAACAGTTGCCTGAGGCCCAGAGAAAGTGATTTGGGGTTCATGGCTAACAGGAACACACTTGGGAGTAGAAAAGTAAAATCCAAGGCTTCTTGGGGGAAAAGGAGGCATGGGGGGGGGGCTCTTTAACTGGGCTAGCATTCCCGCTGCCATGGGAAAATGAGAGCTCACTCACAGGTGCTGAACCTCCCTCCTCAGTTCCAGATCAGACACCACGGGTGCCCTGAATAGACCTTGCAGCCCAGGGGCCACTTCCTGCCCTCTCTTCCTTCTCCACTTCCCCTCACCAAGGCCATGCAAAAGCAAGCACACAAGATAGAGGAAGAGCAACCTCAGCTAAGTGCGACATCAGGATGTGTCTTTCTAACTCCATCCAGGCCCCTCCCACGAGGCCCACGTCTGGTGAATTATCCAGACTCTGCACAAGCTGTGGCTTCCTTTCAATACAACAAACATTTCCTGAGCATCCTCTCCCAGTAATCTAGCCAGTGGGCGAGGGTGACTCTGCCAGCAGGAGGGAGGGAAGAAACTCAGTCATCCAACAGCTCAAGGCTGAATGGCAAGTGCTGTTCTCATCTGTAGAAGCCTGGCAGCCCTGGGTAGGATGAGGGTAGGAGCCTGAAGAGACTCACCCCACTTCTGCTCCCCTTTGATATGGCATGTGCCCTTTGCTCCCAAGCCCTTATCTTGCTGGCGCCATGCAGCCCCCTTCCTCCCCTGCTCTCTACAGGGGTGAGTGGGTCTTCTATAATCCTCTGAAGCTCTAGGGAAAGTCCTGTCATCTCATCACTACACGTGAGGCCTGCGACTTGGGTTCCTTCCTTGTTCTTCCTTCCTGCCTCTTGGTTCCATCTCTATTCCCTCTCCTCAGGCAGGGGTGAATCTTCAGCAGGTCAGGCTGTTTAGAGAACTCTTCTCATGCTTTTGTGTGACATGTGGTGCAGGTTGAACTCAGTGGGTCTGGGGAAGGTCTGAACATTTGCATTTCTAATATGTCCCAGGTGAGGGAGACATGGTCGCTCCTTTTCTGCCTGAAGAACCCTTTGCAGAGTCAGGTTCTGTGTGAAGGGTTCAGGTTAGAGCAGACTCTAGATCTAAAGCAAGTTGCCAGCACTGCAAGAACTGGGGGAGTGCTACCCCTGCCAAGGAGAAGAGGCTTCCTGGCTTCAGAGGTCCCTGCAGAAGATTCTTTGGGCAGTGGGTACTGGAGTCAACTATGTAGTGCATCAGAAGGAAGCTGACTGAGATGTGACAGGATGAAGGGGGTGGAAGAGTCAGTGCTGTGGCTCAGAAGAAGTCCAGAAAGGGAAAAAAAATTCCTGTACATACAAGACATGCCTGGGCCAGAGTGAAGAATTCAAATTCACGTTTTCATTTTGCCTTCCAGTCTCAAGTATATTTTGACTTTGGAGTGTGACACAGGCCCTGGAGCTCATGACTCCTAAAGATGGGGCTGGAACAGAGCAGGTTTGGGCAGAGAGCTCTTGAATCCAGATGTTGCAAAGAAATGGCTGTGATTAAGAATCTGAATTCTTGGCTGGGGGCATAGGTTGGTAGAGCCCATTCTCAGTATACATGAACTTATAGGTTCAATGTCCAGAACATCCCAAGATAGATAGTGAGTCAGACAGATAGACAGACAGACAGACAGACAGAGATGAGGAGAAAGGAATAGAGAAGAAAAGGAAGAGGGATGGAGACAGAAAAGAGAAAACTCACAATTCACCTTCCACTTGATGCTGCCAACTGTGCAATGTGATCCATCAAACAACACAAGGCAAGGCACATGTGACCACAGGTTCAGGATGTGGCAGGGTTCTGGTTCAGTCTTTACAAATGAACCTAAGCAGGAGAAGGAGCTGACATGGAGGACTGAGAGGACATGGGGCTTCTCTTCATGGGCAACAGACTTTAGGGTCCTGAGGGAAGCTGTCCTGGTGATTGGTGAGAAGCCAACACAGGACATCTTCATTACAGAAGCCTGCAACAACAGCAAGCCTTTCCTGAGAAAAGGGAGCTCTTCTCCAGGATAAGATACAGGGGACACCTCTCAGCTCTCTGATCAGGTTGTACAATCTGCTCTGTCAGAGTCAACTATGGAGCAGAAGAAACCCATGTCAGCCATTCCTCTTGAGGCCTCAAAGGGCCACCCATGACTTTTCCTGGTTGCTTTGTTGAAAGGTCTGACCCCGAGTTTTGCCTTAGAAAACCCCCTTCCCTGCAACAAGCAGACAAGACTAATCTTTAAAAGCAGGAGTCTTCATTAAACACAACTCTGGGAAACCAGATGCAGGGCTGGAAGGAAGCAAGAAGGGTGCCAGGAAGACCTGGCAGGGAGAGGACACCTGGAGACGAGGGTAGCGGGGAAATGGAGAGCATCCTGTCAGAAAAGTGCGCGTTTAGATCCCAGGCACCAGGTAGAACAAAGCACGCACGCTGGAGTCTGAGACAATAAATACGAGCCCTGAACCTCCTATCTCCCTTGCTCAATGTTAGCCTCTAAAAGCCTCAGTCTCCTTACCTGTAGAATGAGGCTTGCTGCTCTGACCTTGAAGGGTTGCTGAGAACGCTAGAGTGTGCAAAACATGCCTACACACAGTAGACACTCTGGGAACAGTAGCCTGGTGCTTTGAAAACATGTTGAATAAATGAAGTGGGCGTTGATATGAGGTCTTTAGCTGCTTGGTTTCTTCCTTTTATTTTAACTTTTCTTTTTATTGGGGATCAGCACTCTCAGGGAAAGGAGGGATGATAGCTCAAGCCATTCTGACAGCCCTTCAGGACAGCTTCTTTTATTAACCCTGGAGGTAGGGTGTCTAGTGGGGTGCCTTTGCTTTTATATGGAGTATATACTCTATCTTTTCTGGCTCCGTCATAGCCCTCTGAGCTCCACAGCTGACTTTAGCTACGAAGGCTCCTCTTTTCTTCTGTTTAAAATACAAAGTCTCACAAATTCAGAGCCTAGTTTTTGTTTCATTACCTTCCTCCAGAAGTCATCCCCACCCCAGAGAGCTTCCTCTGGGTCTCCTGGAATTAAGTTCTGCCAAATGAGCAAATGACTGATTTTCTTATGGCCAACCTCAGCTATTTAAAACAAGGTACACGTTTGGAAGGTCTGACCATTAGTTAACTCCAGACTTGATTCTGCTGTCAGGGACAAGAATTATAGGAAGAGATGGCACTGGTCCTTAAAAACACCAAGAAATGGCAAAACTTTTCCATATGACTCTTTTCTGAGGTTGAGGGCCAGTGAGGGTTGCCAAGAGGATAGAGATAAACAACACTGTCCAGTGTCATTTATCAGTGGCCACAGACCCCACCAGCATCTCCTTCCAAGTCAGAGGCCTTTTCTGGGCTACTGAGGATAGAAAGGGTGACTGTGGCTGCCTCACAGAGGCAACATTTAGGGCTGGGAAAGACGTAGAGGAAAGAGGCAGCAGAAAGCCCAGGCTGTGGCTGCTTTCTCTCAAGTTGGCTGCGCCTACGTCAGGGCTCTCATTAAGCAGCCACTTGACGCCAGGGAGGTGAAGTAACGCAGACCTGGCACCAGAAAGAACAAATGTGGCACCCGCTGCTCCTTTTAAGGACTGGCTGGAGAAGCAGCAGGCCCCAGGGCAGGAGGTGAGGCAAACACACCAGCACCTTTGAGGCAGAGGGAGTAAGCTCTCAAGCCTACCTCCAGCTTAACAAGCTCTCCAGGGTGAACTGTCAAAAATAATGGACAGCGCAGGCTTTTTCCTGTCCTTACAAACTCTGGAGACCTAGTGCTTCCTCTCCTCTGCACAGGGCAGTCGGCTCCACCGAAGCAAAGCGGCCAAAAGTCACTGTGATAACCAGCTAACAGCACAGAAAGAGCCCCCAAACTACAGAAATCAGGGAGAGGCGGGGCCTGCGGCTCTCCAGCTTCAGCCTGTATCAAAATCACCTGGAAAGCTGTCTTTTGTTTTTTTTTGAGAAGGCAGGGGTGGCGGGGAGGGGGGCGTCTCTACTGGAACTCACTCTGTAGACCAGGCTGACTGCAAACTTAAGAGATCCACCTGCCTCTGCCTGGATTAAAGGAGCACACCACCACCACACATCTGGAAAGCTGATTTTAAAGTGAAGGCCTGCCTCCACTTCCTGAGCCAGCTGCCCAGCTGGTCTGGGTTGTGGCCCACAGTGTCACAGTTCTCCCAATTTCCCAGGTGATGCTGATGCTGTCAGGCTGGGAGTTAGCATCTTGTTTACTGGCTTTCCCTTCACATTTCTTTCCATGCATCATTTCCCCCCAAAGGGATACATATTCCCTTGAGAATATATTACCTCATGTGTATGCACAGTCCTTTTATTCCCAAGGTCGTAAAGCACTTTCATATCCATTACCTCTGTTCTCTCTCATGACATGCCATTTGGTTGGCAGAACAGGAGGCCACGCCTTTACCAATGCTACCAACGAGTTGTTTCTTAACCTTCCTGTTCAGGGTCCCTTCTGAGAACATCCTACCTCCACACCTAGGTCCTGGTCATGCATGAACCGACTACAGCTCAGAGATGGGCTCCCATAACTTTTAAAATATATAATTTATTTTGTATGTGTATGTTGGTTTTGCCTGTGTGTATGTCTGTGCACCATGTTTATAACTGATGCCCGTGGAGGCCATAGGAGAGGGGGGACTCCTTGGTTGTTAGCCACCATGTGGGTGCTGAGTATTGAACTTGGGTCTTCTGGAAGAGCAGCAAGTGCTCTTAACTGCTGAACCATCTCTGCAGCCCTGCTTCTGTGACTTGACACTGCCCAGCAGGCACCTAAGGGGACCTGTGGCCTCTAGGATACAAGAAGGAAAAGCTCAT